CGGTCCCGCTGCTAGGATGGCTCAATTACAACTTCCGCTTAGGCTTTTCACAATAAAGCTTTAATTGGTTCATTCCAAAGGAATGCTGATAGGCCGTTGGTAGTATAGGATAGAGTGACGTCACAGTGATGTTCTCTTTATAAGGCTTTTAAAATTAAGATAAATTCATCCCTTTGACACACACTTGTTGTTTCATAGAATAAGAGTACTGTAATTTATAGCACATTGCACAGTCAGTATGAAGCCAATGAATTATATAAATCATGTAATATAACATATTATACAATCAAAAAAATGTATTTGTTCGTGGAGTATAATAACCCAGATGTACCAAAGGTGCTAAATTGATTATGTACATGTATAGATTACATTGTTACGGGAATTTCAGCACATGATACACACATACATACTCGTTCTGCCATCGCAGTGAGGACCATGTGCTGACTCCCTTTGCTTCCATTGATTTTCAGTCATTTATAACCCTGCCCCACTAACCCTAAAACTAACTCTAAACCTAACCTTATCAATCCATTCCTACACCTAACCCTAAACAATTGACATCTTAGCCCTAAACCTAAACATTTGCAAAATAGCACGTGAGGACCGGCAAAATGTCCTCACTTTGCAACAACTGGTCCTCAATTTGATGGGGAAATTATGTTTAAGTTGTTTATTTTTCGTCAATATAACATGCAATACATTTCAGCACAATACTTTTTCAAATGAGAAACATGCCAAACACTACAAAAATTCCTCCCAAACTACAAGCACATGACCTTTTATGCCAACTGGTCAGTCTAAACTGCACAAAGGTATACGTTTGTGCATATAAGCGTTTTCTCTTTTATGTCTCTGTATTGTCCTGTGATGAACTGGCAAATTGTCTGGCATTTTCCCATTTTCTCCACCAAGACTGATAAGAGATTGGCTCTGAGACCCTCCATGAAAACCACATATATAGATTATGGATGAATGGCGCGCAGCATCCAAATGATTGGGTCCTAGATATTTTCCCAAATGTCTTTATAATCGTATTTTGTTGTAAACCTGCTTTCTATAGGTCTAGATATAGGCTACATAAACATAAAAAGATTGAATCTTTTATGAAATTTATAACTGAAGACACTATGTCTACAGATTCATTATAGATCCCCTGTTACCCATTAAATAAACTTTAAGTATCTGTATTGTTAAATTGTCCCAATGTGTTATTTTGTAAGCAGAATTTTTATTTAAGCCTTGTTTAACAATGCTTGCCTTATGTTTAGTGCTGACATTTTTTAAATCATGCTTTTATTCTGAAAGCAAAGAGTAAAAAGCTCCAATTAGTCACATCTGACACAGAGATCAGCTGACAAAGGTTCTCAGTAAAAGGTTATTTTCTAAGAAATTATCCTAGATCCCTTAAGTTACTCAATGTTCTATCATTTTATTTATGTTTTGCTGTTCTTAAAATGTGACCATTTAGTCTCTTCCATCCTGCATGTGATTGAGTGACATTTTTCAGAAAGCTCCTAAATATTTAAACCATTAACAAGTTTGGAATATTTCTAGCACAGTGCCTTTAGGTTCACTCATGTCAATTAAACACTGATGTGTAAAACCCAATAAAAACCACAGAAAATACAGTCTGTAATTTCCTGTATTTAGCCCAAGATAGCAGCATCAAGCAGACACGGTGTTCAGCTGTTCACTGGTTATTGTGCTCCAATTACTCCCTAATAAGCTTGTGACTGCAGGGCCTCCACTCACATGTAGACACACACACTCAGCAGAAATCGCTTTCTTTCAGGATTATTCTTTCTGACACAGTATTTTGTAAATGCACGTTAAGCCTTTGGATGCAAACATTTTTTGTTCTTTTAATTTTACCAATACATTTCCTGGCTATTTCAGAAGAGTTGTATGTTTTTTTTTTGTATTTTTATTGTTTTGTTTATATATAAAAGTAATTCTTTTTAATGATAGATCTAGGGGTGGCCAGACCTTCGTATGAAGATGATTCATCTCGAGTCCTCAAGCAGCCACATTACATAAGTCTTCAGTTTAAGATGGTTTGTTTATAATGTTTTTTTTTTTTTTAAAGGTTATTGCAAAATTATGGAATCTATTTGACCTCAGGGTGAGCTTAATGCCAAAACAACAAACAAAATTATCTCAGGAAAAAAAAAAAAAAAACTGAATACTATTATAAATTCAAACAAAAATACAATCAATTAAAGGAGAAAACTAGAATCAAGCAAAAAAAGGAGTCTCACCCATACAAACTAATTTAAGTGATTTCTAACTGATACAGGTACAAAGCTGCTCAGGTGCGGTTTGTTGGACTGAGCAAAATATGAATACCAGGTTTTAATCAGCAGCATCTCCATCATCGTAAACCAGTCTGCTTCTTCAGACTCCACCAATCACAGACAGGTCTACTTTACATATTCACACATCACAAAAACAGAACCTTACAACACCAGTCATATTATTTTAAATATTTAAACCTCTTTATATTAGTTTTTTGTGTTTCTCTTAATAATGCACGGGAACACGTGGGAAACACTGAAAAAAATGTACATTTGCATTACATTTCATGACATAAGAAACACTGAAGTATTTAAGGTTTATTCACTTTAGCTGTACCGGTATATATATATATTTTTTAGTATTTTCTGAAATAATGTTTGAGGATTCAAATCTAGTTTATTACATTGTTTTTACAACTACTATTATTTTTGGCAGATCTGGTGACAATGATGATTTAAGGAGCCAATCTTCTATCTTCTTCTGCTTGTCCATCAAGCCATGATGGCACTTATTTTACATCCAAGTAGTATGCAGTTCTCCCAGTTCTTCCAATATACACACACTCATCAGTTTCAAACAGATGGTATCAGTATGGCATCAGTATCGGCCAATACTGCACAGCCAGGTATCAGGTATTGATATTGGGGCCAAAAAATGTCATTGGCACAACACTAGTTTAAAGTGGCCTTCCTAACAGCCTTCTGGCTGACTTCTGTAGATCCAAGAGGTGGCAGGAAGATATTAAGGAGAGGTGGTTACCAGATTCCACTCTTAACTACTGCAATGTGTTCTTATATGTCTTACTGCACTTCTGCCTCTTGGCCAGGTCTCCCTCGAAAAAGAGATTTTATCTCAGGGGACTTCCTGGCAAAATAAAGGTTAAAAAAAAAAAAAAAAGGGTCTCACATCCATTACAGTGCTGATAATCTGGAATTCTGCCTGTATGGAGGTTTTTGCATGTGATGGAAAAAATGTAGGATATAGACTAGATGGGGTGGTTCAGATGAGCAGAATCCTGCATAGTGACTGTGGCTAGGCAGTAACAAAGGGTGCACACTAACAGACCCCTTATGTTGCAATAACATGATGTCCCATGACAGAAATGCTCCCAATAGTGAATATAATTTTTTATTTTTGTTCCCTAACCGATGTCCTATGACCAAAATAATAATAACAACATCTGTGTGAACTTAACAGCACATTCTCCTGTATTTCATTTTTGTTGTTGTTTTTTTACAGTGTCCTGTCTGGCATTGTGGCAATAAGAATAATTTTCTTGATGCCAAAAAGAGCCGAAGAGATTTTACTTTCGCAAGTGGAGCAGTAGGGCTATCGCCATATTCCTCCACTTGTTTCATGCATATCAATTGCTTTATTATAATTATGCAGGGAGTTTTACAGGTTAGATGGACACTGCAATGTAGGTAGAACAGGAAAGGGAAAACAGAAAAAAAGGAGAAAAGATGAAAGAGAGAGGAGATAGAAGGGAGATAATGACAAAACATTTTCAGTCTGCTTAATCACCTACAACGAGATGTAAAAAGAACATCACAACCAACAGAAATAGTATGAGACATACAACAGAGTAACACCTTGAAACTATCGCTGAAGTAGTATTATTTAATCTTACATGTACTCTGTGTTACCTGAAGATAAGAATATGGGCTTTCTGTATGGAAGTGAATCTGTGAGTACCTGGAACCAAGCACCTGTATCTCCCGTATTTCCTAATTTGAAGAGTGGCCAAGATAGTAGAGAATCATTCTAATTTATTTGTAAATATAAATTCAATGCGCCCTGATCATGGTTGAAGATTTTGCTGAACATTTAAAAGAACGAAAAATGCTTGAATTTTAAAAGATTGTTAGATGTAATAAAGTAACTGTTTCTAAATAAGCTTCCCAGACACAGCCATCCCATACAGTAAAATATGTATTTGTTTCTGTTTTTTTTTTTTTTTTTACAAGTATTACATTTCTACTACTACCACTACTAGTACTATTTCTCTGCATCAGACCGTTTAATAGTTTTATTGCTTTACATAAAGGTACAAACATGCAGAAAATGATTTTGATTTAAATGGGGTAAATAAAGAGGTCATATTTTAGCCCCAAGGCTAAAATATGGACTTTTTGAATCATTTCCAGATTAATCAAAGCTTTAACAGCCTGCTCACAGAAAATAGTGTTTCTATATGGGGAAAAAAATGCCTTACTGTTTTTTTGTTTTGTTGTTTTCAGGTAAAAGAAACACAATTGAAAAGGTAATCTGTGTCAAATTCTGTGGTTATTAGATTATACAGTTTATTCGCGGATATTATGTTTGCTTTTTTTCCTTTCAAAATAAACATATTTATTGAAGAGAAGACAGATCCTTACTATTTTAAGGAATAGCTCCGAAACTGACTTTCATGGCTAACAATAACATAAAAAAATATAATGTGCAACCTAATCCCGTATATGACATTTTTTTATTTATTTATTTATTTATTCTTCAATTTATTTGTTTGTTTAGGCTATATTTTAAAGTGTTGTAGACTAAAACATAGAAAGGTTGTGAACCTGTTTTTTTCTGTGTGGATATGATGCGTGCAGCAGAGAGGATTCCTCCAACAGCCTCTCTCTCTTCTCTCTCCACATTTTGGATTATCCTGTAATAATCCCGGTCTCGCATTGTGCATGCGCAAACCCAAAGTGCGCGCATGCAGGGAGATGCGGTGTGCGCGCTTCGCTGATAATTCAACAACCAAAGATCAGATTTTCTGCAAATTCTTCAAGCAGCGCCGGGGATGGAGTGAAAGAGGTAAAGAGTTTTTTTTTTGTGTGAACTATTAGTCTGTCCGTGGATTAATTTGTGTGTGGGGGGGTGTAGTCTTTCACAGAGTGGGATGTGGGATTAAACCGGGATGTCCTGTTACGCGCTGGGGCTTTAACGATCTAATGTTCATGAAGAATAATTGATCACATGCAGAAATGCAGACAAGAACCTGATGAGATAGAATAAATAAATAAAACATTTATCACTCTATATTTGCATGTTGTTCGCTTACAATGAGTTGTTGTCCTGCGTGGATAATTGCTCCGTGTGGTGACCCACTTGGCAAACAGCCTCGGGTTGTTCTTATTCTAGTCACAATAAGTTTGCTCAAAGGAGAAAATTCATCCAATGCAGTTTGAGATGTAAACATTTACTGAAAAAGTGAAGAGAAACAGTGAAAAGAAAACAATCTGCTGCATGTGAGAAAATGAGATTCTGGTTTGTTTGCTATCTTATCTTCCTAAACCTCATTCATTTGCTGTTTAAAAAGCAAAAAACAAACACATTTTTGAATTTCAGCCTAATCTAAGCAGAGCATCATCCTGCTTCTGTTTTCTATGTTTTCTCTTCATGTTGTCTGGCAAAATATAGAACAGAGCTCTTACCACTATTGTTTAACAGCTAAATAATTTCTCCACTCATCCTAAAAGACCTAATTTGTGGATTCAACCACTTGAGCTGTCACAAACAGTCATGCTGTGGTCGGTTTGGGGTTCTGTTAAACCTTTTCCATCTCCAGAAAAGAGATTCAATTCTGCTTTTTCCTAATTTGATATAATCCATTTTAGTTATTTTTGTTTTTTTGTAGATTTGGAGAAAACTGTCTAAACAATCCCTCCAGTATTGATCTAAGTTATACTCATTTCAGATATTCAGATATACTCAGATCACAGATTAATCTTTCATGTTTTTTGTTTTTTTTATTATTGTTTCAGAAGACAGAACTAGATTTAAAAACAAGTACAGTAACAGAGAGTGCACTACTTACACTAATCTTGGAGATAATCATCAATTGATTGGGATTTCAATTATACATTTATAGAAAGACTGTTTTATAATGATGTAGATTTTGCCTTATTCATATATATTTTTGATCCTGCATAAATCTTATTTCACTTTTAAAATAATCCAGTTACTTACCTTTGTAAGATCCACTACAGTATTCTTAATCGTGTCTTCTAACTTTAATCTGATATGATATCTGACCCAATCAAAAATGAAGCTCATGTATGACTGACAATAAAATCCAATTCTGCTCTCTCCTCATAAGGCTGGTCACACACCAGTGCTCCCACATGGACATCCGAGCCTCACACAGTATTTTAGGTTCTGCATCGAGGACAGTATGACTAACTGTGAGCTGATCGAGCTCAAGGACCTGAGTGTGAACGATCCCATTGAGCTGGCCGCTCCATCTGCACACACAGGCCAGCCTGGCCTTGACCACATTGTCCGTCTGGTAGGAGACTGTGTCAGCTTCGAGGGACCGGCCCGTCCCCCCCCAGAGGGTGCTGTGGGCCATGACTTTCAGCCCTATAGCTACACGCATCTTACCTGGTGCGACCTGTGTGGAGAATTTATCTGGGGTCTCTATAAGCAGAGCCTGCGCTGTGCTGGTGAGCGCTTCCTCCCATTCTGATCTATTTTAAGGCTGAGTCTATTTTGATGTCGACAGCAAAAGAGTCAGAATGAATTTAGAGCTGTATGTCGCACATTTTGTTCCAATATTGTCTCAAAGCTATGAAAAAATAATAATGACATAATAATAGTAAAATAAACATGGCCGCACTGTATTTTACTTTGAGTTATTCTGAAGGAACAGAATCAAACAAATGCATTATTTATACCTGTAAGTGATGGTTGCTGAGTACTGCAGCGTCTGAAAGCTAAACCAATATTGTGTTCTCTTGTTCTTTTCTTTATATAGACCTTTGAAAAAGAAGTATAGCCAAATATAACCAATTTAATTTATACCTCAGGATGCAAGGTTTCCTCTCCAAACTAATTAGCATAATCAGCCTGAAGTTCTGGTCAGTTTTCTATTACACATCTGTGTTTCTGTATTTGATTGTCATTATTTTTAACGATTATTGTCGTTATTCAGCTAAAGCAGCTCTTTTAAAGAGGGTAAGGCTTCTTTGCACAGTGCAGGAATGGATCATTAAATACACAGATTGACATCACAATAGTTAAAGCAACACAGAGGAACTAAAACCCCACCTTTCATTGATATCTGTTTCTCTCCCTCAGACTGCAACTACACTTGTCACTACCGATGCCGACCGTTCATTCAGCTGGACTGCAGCAAACGTGGAAGTGTGTTAAAGGGGAATGCTGACTACAGTGAGGACGCCATTGAGACAGACACAAATGTGGTAAAGAGGGACATAACTTTTGAAAAGGAACAGTGTAATCTGTCAGCCCTAAATAATTCAGTTATTTTTATTTTACCTGATAGAGTTTAAACACAGAGTTGTGCGTAACGGTAAAGTGGAAAGAGTCTAAATATAGTTTTCTGTATTTTTTGACTGATTAGCTTATGTGTCATTCTCTTCCCCCTAATAGATAATGAACTGACAAACCCTCTTTAAGATATTTTATCTTTTATTTTGTTACCTGACCTAACCTGAAGTACTACACAACTTTTTCCTTGACCTTCTATCTTCTTGTTTTTTGATGATGTTTACTAAGGTTCACCAATAACTCTTTCAAGCATCCATTTCACTCTAAAATTGAATCACACGGCGATCAAACTAATACTAAGGTTATGATATAAATACACACCTTACAGATTTATGTTTGTAATTGTTGAATATTTTCCTTTTACTTGACAGTTATCCAGTTATTACTGAGTGGAAAAAAAGAGTTGATCTCAGAGTGATACACCTTTTCATTTCTGTGTGATAAATTTTACATATATTAAGTTTGAAGTCATAGCATGTCCTTTTGTGATCCTCATCTTCTCATGTGAGGAAGATAATTATGTTTATCGAATGTAACTCCATGTGGAGACATCTTTGGAGAATATTTTTTAGTCCCACTATTCAATAGGACTATATGATATGTTAATAGGTACTTAACATGTTATAAATCGAGAATCAGTTTGAGGAAGCAATAAAGGAGTTTTTTTTTGTTTTGTTTTTTTTTATTAATGCAGAATCTCTATTTGGTTAGAGATTGGCCCCTTTTAGCTTCTCCGTGACCCTTTAAATAACACATCATACTGTAACACCATATTAGTAGTTTCAGAGTGCTTAGAGGTTAAATCCATACTGGTTTATTTGCAATTTGTTGATCATTTCAAAAAGATGTATTATCATAATAACCATCATAAAGCTTTAAAAGGTAATACCTTCCTTTGTTGCGTTTATCTCCCTTTGTCTTGTATGAGTCTATAAAGGCCAAATTTCAGGATGTTAGTTTTAAAAACTTTGTGGAAAGCCAGCAGGGAATGAAGAAGTGTATTTTAAACTGATGAGGTCACTTAGCATGGTGGTGATTAGAATTAGATCCCATTTCTGAGATTAGAACTGAGGCTTTATGGGGAAGCCAAGGACATTCTGTAACAAGTAAAACTTGGGAATTCAAATTTTTGATCAAAGCAATCAAAGAAATCAAAAACATGAAAGAAAACTCTTTGAAAAGAAGGTGAGGGAGGATCGGATGCTGTTTTGCTGTTTTGGTTTAAAAAAATGGCATGGCTGACCCCATTTTTGAGGCAATTAAACTAACTTTTGTTAAACATTTCCCCTGTTTATAAAATAACTTGTTTGAATTTTTTATCACTTATCACTTTGTGCTCGGTTTATCAGGTATAAACAGGGGGACTACAATCATAAACACCTCTGCTGGTTTCCAAACTGCTCTGACAGATGATAATTAACAGTAGTATTTCATTATTGGCTGTAGTTTATAGTACAGAAATTGGTTTGATCGTTATTTTATTTTATTTTTTTATTAAAATACATGAAGCTTTCATACATCATAGAGAGCAAATACATGAAATCTAAAAGCATTCTAAGCTTTTAGAGTTACTGAGTATTCTCAAACATGGTTGTTATAAAAGACAATAAAAATATAATAGGGATCAGTGTCAGAGGTGGGTAGATACCCAAAAATTGTACTTAAAGAAAAGTAGCAATATGTCATCATAAGTAAAAGTAAAAAGTATACTATGAAAAAAATGACTTAAGTAAGAGTAAAGGGGGATTTAATAAAAAGGATACTGATCTACTGACTACAGCTCATCATAACAACAGATTTAACATATTTGAGTTATAAAACTAATAACGTTTATCCAATAAGCCTTGTGTAAATAAAATAAGAAGCGTGTCTCTAAATAGTGCATATCTGTGCAAAACAAGCTTGTGTTTGCTAAATGAAGTTAGTGAAAATGGATTGAGTGGGCAGAAATTTAGATCAAGTAGGAGCAATGATGTTTTATCAAATGTTTACTAAAACAGTATAGTGTTGAAAACTATTCCTAAAAGTATTTTTTTTAAGTTACTCAAGTTAATAGAACAAGTTACTACCCACATTTGGTCAGCGTGACGCTAAAGGAACAGGGGAAGAGGAACAGTGCAAAGAGAAGTCAGATTGGTTAGTCTAAGAAAAAGAATCTAAAAATCATCAAAAACATATTAGAATTCACAGTCTATATCTTTCTTTCACAAAGATGGAACTAAATGCTTGAATTTGTCTTTTCACTCGTACATCTTTGTTCTTTGTTTTTCTCTATCCATGATTCTTCTATTTCCTTTGGTCTTACTGGTCTCACTGTCGCCAACCTTTTTAGGATGAGCAGATTGAACTGGGCAAACAGGAACTAAGTGTCGGGGAGATTGAGCAGAAGGTGAAGGAATACAATACTCAGATTATCAACAATCTCTTCATGGTGGATGTGAGTCACAGTTATATGTATTTCTTCCCCTCTGGATTGTGTACCCTCTCTGGTCAGAAGTTTGCAGACATCCATAAGAAACACAAATGTCATATAGATTGTGATATTTGGATGATTGCATCTGAACGTTTTGCCACTATAAATAATCTTCTGGAATAAATCCAGTCAGATATTTGACCTTCTTTGCAGAATTGTCAGAAGTCTTTTAAATTGGTAGTTTGGAATCATAGTGCATACTTTCCCAATAGGGTTGAGATCAGGGTTTCAGTGCTGTCTGCTTCATAAATGCAAAGACCTGTTTTGATCAATTGGAAGAGCCATTTGCGTCCAGACTGAGACCAGTCTGTCCAAAATTGTCCCCTTCAGAAGGCCGAAACAGCTCATAAAGGATCTGTATATATGGAGCTTTGTCAATTTCAAAAAACCCAAAACCTTATATTGCATTCTCACAAATGGTGATGAGCTACACTGTAGCTACAGCTGAAACTCACTGTAAGCTATGTTTAGCATGGCAGTGGCATAATCATACTGAAGTTCTACAAAAAACAGTTAATTAAGTTATTCAATTCCTAAATTAATATGAAATGTTTGCTTTGATTTATATAAAATTCGGAATTTCATGATATAACTCTTGTGAATCTGTGTGTCAAACAGAACAAAGATGGGAGCTACACTGGTTTTATAAAGGTCCACTTTCAGTTGCTGCGCCCCATTTCCCTTCCTCCATCTCAGAGTCAGAGCAGGACTGAGGAAGACAATCAGCTGGACAGACCCGCAAAACGGCGGACATCTTTCTACCTCCCAAAAGATGCAGCAAAGCACCTTCATTTGAGCTCAGAAACTCGAGTGCGAGAAGTCATTGAGGCGTTGCTCAACAAGTTCACTGTGGTGGACAATCCGGCAAAGTTTGCCTTGTTTGAAAAGGTTGAAAAGCAAAGCCAAGGTAGGATTCCTGAGATCAGGATGGGTTTAAAACCGAAGAGAAGATAATGCATCCTTATTGTTGTGTCTTCTTTCAGTGTTCCTGCGTAAGCTGTCTGATGAAGAGCGGCCCCTGTATTTGCGCTTGTGTGCCGGCCCCAACGAATCAGCCCTAAGTTTGGTTTTGAAGGAGAATGAAACTGGGGACGTTAATGTGAGTTCTCCCTTCAAATATAAGAATGATCACAAACTTCTCATTTTACAGTTAAAAGGATTTTAAAACAAAATTCCTTATTTCTTTGCAGTGGGATGCATTCAGTTTTCCTGAGCTGAACAACTTTCTGCGAATCCTGCAGCGCGAGGAAGATGAGCATGTGCGGCAGATTGTGAAGCGCTATGCTCATGCTAGAGACATGATAAAGCATGCCATGGCCCGGGTAACTACCCCTGGTTGATAAAGAGAGACTGTAAATTAAGGAGAACTCAATCACACAATTAAAATGTGATGTAAAAGGGAAGGAGAAAGCTCAGGCGATGATAATGTTTCAGAATATAGTAATCTGATGCAGGAATACATGGGTTTACATTTTAATGTGAGATGTCTTTTATCACATATTGGCACTTTAATAAAGCTGTGATTTGGTGTTGGGTTTATGTATTTTTATGCAAGTTATGTAATAAACTGATCATAATAACACATGGGTCAAATTATGTCAGTGTTATGACATTAAGTGTGTGCTTGGCTGCAACGCTTGTCCACGTTAAGAGTTCTGCTATTTTGCTAGTGCTGACCTGCAGATAACATTAAAAAGCAGTTTGCGTGGAGGATTTGTGGAGTCTGCAGAGCAACACTTTGAGAAATGTCTTGTTTCCTAAAAAAAAAACAAAAAAAACAATGTAATCCACTATAACCAATGTGGTAAAACAAGGTATAAACAAGGTGGTTCTGAAGACACTAGTGGACCAGCCTGTCCCGTTTCTGTCTACACGCTGAACTTTCACCTACTTAGACCAAAGGCAGTGGGGCCATCCATTGTTTATTTGTTGATTATTCTCACTTGCAAAAAGAGATTGTGATACTGAATTAAAAAGGAATATAATTTTGTCTTTTTTATATATACTAAAACTTTAGAATAACTGTAAAGAAAAATCGTGTACTTTTAATAAAAAAAAAAAACATTTTACAATTTCTTTTATTTGAGAATAAGTTCAGTTTTACATAAATCCTGAGTTACTTATCCAAAAACTCAGGCAGGGAAAACCTCTGATATAACCAATGAGGAAAGTCTGATTTCATTGGACACAAAACCGCTTAACTATATTGGTTGAAGGTAGTAAAAATATCAAAATAATGAAGAAAAAAAAACTCCCCTCCGCTTATCCCTCCCGTCCACACGGTGGCGGTATCACCCAGGCCGTTACAAAACGCATAGACCAAGAAGCACTGACGCTAGCTTAAACAGCTACTATAGCTATCGATAGGAGCCCTTCAGTCGACAACTCATCGGGTTAAAATAATTATAAAAAACAAATCTTCGAACACAACGTTCTTCATTTTAGGTAGGTTTACACCGAGACGGAATCAACCAGCATTAGCTAACAAAGCAGCTAATGTTAGTCTTTTCCAACGTTTGTGAACGTTATGCTGTTTGTAAGCGTGTTGACCTAGTAAGTGCTAGAAACGAAGGCTAGTTGTCTTCAGGTAATAGAGGTGGTTAGCTGACAGGTCATTAAGTAACATTAAAGCTCGTTTACTTTATATCTTCAGATCAGGACCAGTCTCTTAATGTTTGCACAAAATAACTTTGTAAATTAGCTGCAACCTGCCAGTATTGCAAATACATATACTCATAGCAGGCGTTTATAAATACATGTTATATATAAATATACATACAAACCCTGCTCGTTGCTCGTTACAGATTCTATATTCTAACCATATGAATTTATTTTTTTTTAAAATACACATGTCAATGTGAGTTCCTCTCTATAAAAATGGGCATTTTTAGGTTGCATTGTCACGCTTTTTGGCCCTTGTGTGATTTCCAGGCATATTGTTGTCCTAATGACTTCCTCCTTTACTCTTTGTTTTATCCCTCAGGATGATAAATCAGAGGAACGACTGAACCATTAGAGCACATTTTCCTCATCTATGCATATATGTGTGTCTATTAGGTCTGCAACTAACGATTATTTTACACATCGATTAATAATGGGATAGCCAAAGGTTCGTTAAAAATGATTTTGTTTTTTTTTTACGAAATTAAACTAACTGAAACTAAAACTTTTCCACTTGAGGAGTTCTGGATAGAGGATATTGACAAAAAGTTGTTGTTGTTTTTTTTATCTCAAATGCAAAATGTTTATATATATATATATATGTATGTATGTTTGATATAATCACTGCTCTAAGTGGGTCGCTCTGTCAGCTAAAGGCATGTTTTATAGTCTCTATACTCCAGTTAACGATTAAATGATTACTAAATTAGTTGACGATTATTTTAATAATTGATTTATCACGATTAATCCGATAGCTTCAGCTCCAGTATATATAAGAAAGGAATGGTGTGGGCAAGATGGAGTTCACAAGTTCCACACTCAAGACGTTTTTATTTTTTGTGAGGATTTATTTATGATTATGTAAAAAGCCATCCATCTATCTCCTTCCACTTATCCGGGGTCGGGTCGTGGGGGTAGCAGCTTTAGTAGGGAGGCCCAGACGTTCCTCTCCCCACCCACTTAGGCCAGCTCCTCCACGGGAATCCCAAGGGGTTCCCAGGCCAGCCGAAAAACACACTCCCTCTGCGTCTCCTCCCGGTGGGATGTGCTCTGAACACCTCATCAGGGAGACGTCCAGGAGGCATCATAACCAGATACCCGAACCACCTCAACAGGCTCCTCTCAACATGGAGAAGCAGTGGCTCTACTCTACGTCCTCCCTGGAGGACTGAGCAGCCTACCCTATCTCTAAGGGAGAGCCCAGACACACTATGGAGAAAACATAAGAGTAACATTATAAAAAAAATATATACCAACTGTTTTTACCCCTTTAAAAAAAAAAAAAAAACAGCTTTGGAAATACATTTCCACAATCGGTGGTGACTTGACATAGTGGAAAAATTGCAAATTTTCTTTTGAAAGGTAAGCTTGTATGAGCGATGCAAACAGTAACTTTTTAACAGAGCGTGGACAAAGAGAAATGAGCTCTCGTGTGCGTTAAAAAGGGCTTTCCCTCTCCAGAGCGGGTACAGGCTTGTGCATGTGCATTTGTTTTTAAAGTGGAGGGGCGGGTATTTTCAAAAATGCATTAAAATCCTCCACTATACCTTTAAGAGAAAAGACACTGAGAGAACCTGCTAAGCTAATTTTCTAGATGGCTTGTTAACTGAGAATTACCTTTAATAAAGACAATTAGCAGCAGAAACTGAAATAGCGTTAGGCAAATTTCCTTGTTTAACAGGATAAAGTTATTGTGAAAGTGACTCTGGTTTATGTTTGTAAAACCCCAAAATTGACATTATTAGATGCACTGATCCATTTTTTTTTTTCAGATACTGATACCTCGGCCGATACAGTCGATATCTGAAACTGATCCGTTTCAACTATTGAATGTATGAATCAACCATATATTTTGCCGTTTGAGTGAAGGTTTTTTGCATTGACATGAGCATTGTTAAAAATAGTAAAAAAGTAATGCAGACTTAATTTACTTTCTATCATTCACTCACAAATAAGCAGCAAAAATAAAGATAATTCCATGTAATGTGCATTGAATTGGATCTCCGATATCAAATTGCCAATATCCGATCCTGCTAATTAGTTGTTATCGGAGCTGATATCCAATCCGGGTATCAGATCTGTGCATCTTTTGATATTCTAGTTTGGAATAATACTTGCTATTGTAATTATTGTTCCCCTGGTGATTTTCTTAAACGAAAGTTCAAATCAGTATACATGAATGTTTGAGCAGTTTTGGTGTTTTAGGGTTTAGTCCAATGCTGAATAGTTTTTATATTTATTCTAAAAAATTACCGGTATGTTCTGTCATTTTTTTTTTCTTTTTTCTGTACCGTTTTATGGGGGAGGGGTAGGATTCTTGAAGCTGATATTCCTTTCACTTTCTAGATTTACACTGTTAGAAAATAAAATAAAGAAATATGTTAACAATTCAAAGAAAATATTGAGAATGTATCGCAAATGGAGAGAGCGATGATGCAGATTGTTTACTTGATCTCAGGACATGGTTGCTGAATGCACTAATGAATTGGTGAACACATGCATGTATTGGCCCACACTGAAGTAAGAAAAAAAAAAGCCTGCTAATATAAGTGGAAAATGTTGGCAGGCCGATGTATCAGTTTAAAACTTGTATGAAGTTACAAATAATCCCCCTAAATAGCAACACTTTCAGGATTCTTTCTGTCATCAGCAAAATACAGAATTCTAAAATAATTAATCTGGTCATGAATCACAATTTTTAAATGGATGTCTGAATCTGTTTCATTTGAGTTATAAAGAATATATATATATATCTATAATTGTTAACTGATTTACTCTGTAACTGGAGTGTAGAGACTGTAAAACACGCTTCACCTGACAGAGTAACCCATTTAGAGCAGTAATTATATATATATATATATATATATATATATATATATATATATATATAT